AGGAAGGGGATAAAAGTGTCCGGACTGGAAGTGATTAAAATTATGCACAAAAGCATTCCACATGGAAAACCGTAAAACATTAAGTATGCCACATACCAAGATGGCTGCCATTCTAAAGCACGGACCCAGCGACGTGACGTCAGCACATAGGCTCCACCCAACATGTTTCGTGCACATGCACGTCTTCAGGGGTACGCCCATTGCCGACGTCAGAAGCCGACATGAGGCACTCATGTAAATACCAGGCGCTGTTTTTTTTGTAGTCCGTGCCAGAAGCCATTATTAGGATAATGTTTATCATATTGGTTTAATTCATACTTTTTTTTGACACATTATTTTATATCATGTTTCATGCGCTGCACCTCATATATATGTTTGTTCATTGAGGTCTCTACTAATGTTTGGGAATCAGTTGGCATGGTTTCTATCATGTGGTCTCCATCACGGCTCTATTGTTCACATGGGCTCATAGACAGATGCTAGTGTATTTCATTTTCTATATGCACAAATAAAGAAATGCTTTAAGGATATGTTTACCGTTCATAACGTGTTACACCCATATTCAGGGTGTAATGATCAGACTGGCCCCCAACCCCCACTCCCATCCGCCCGATCCCCGTCTGTGGTCACGCGGGGCTCCACCTGCCTAGCCGCATCACTCATTTCCAGTATTTGTGAATGGGAAAACTCCAAGTTCTGACAGCTTTTGCAGCTGTCGGCTTGTAGTTTTTTCAATGAACTACCACAGCGCTTCATTGAGCCTTCCTGTCAGAAAGTATCTGCTTGCCCATACAGGATGTACAACCGGTCGGAGGAGACCTACATGGCACCACGGAGGAGACCTGCATGGTACCAGTGATCTGCTGATCGCTGGTGTAATGCTTTAGAGGCTACACAAACAAAATATAATAAATGTACTTTTTTACCTGCATTTACTGTTTTTTGTTAAAAGGTGAACTTTTAAGTTTTTTAAACTCTTTTTAAAAATCATAGAAAAGTATCTATTGTGTGAAGTGAGCTTTATATTCCACCCCCATTCAAGCATCATTCCAAATACACATTACCAGAAAAAGAAAACTGGGGCCCATCCACCCCATGGGACCACGCCCAAGGTAAGGCGGAAACCCCTTGAAAAAATGGGACTTTTAAGTGTGCCCAAAAGGGAAATCTAAAAAAATACAAATAGTAGAGTTATATTCTTCTTCCTCAGGATCCACACTTGCACATAGATGGTTATGGCTGAAGTAAACAAATAATATCATATAAATCATGCACAGAAAAATATATATACGGTATAGAAGAATGGTGTGGAGGAAGGAATGGGGGGAGGGGCAGAACCTCCAAAATTTAAAAGCTTTAACCTACAAAAAATAAGTATATAAACTATTTTGTATTTTATTGTATCTCCCATTTGAGCACACTTAAAGTCCCATTTCTTTAGGGGGTTTCTGCCTAACCTTTTGGGTTTTGCCCCATGGGGTGGATGAACCCGTTGTTTTCTAATTTAAAAAATAAATAAATAAATAAAAAGCAGGGTCTTTATTAACACACTGTATGAAATGAAAGCCTCGTCCTCAAACAATATAACATTTTTTTTTCAGGTGAGCAAACTGGTTCTAGTTTTTGTCAAGTTAAAGCAATAGTAAACTACAAGAAGTCTGCTGCCAGGGAATATCATAATGTGCTAGTATGTATCACATGCTAGCGCATTATGAAAGGCTTACCTTGATCTGAAGCCCTCCAGCTGCGAGCTGTTGCCGGCTGCGGAGGCTCCCGAGCTGTCCGCCGGCTGCGGAGGCTCCCGAGCTGTCCGCCGGCTGCGGAGGCTCCCGAGCTGTCCGCCGGCTGCGGAGGCTCCCGAGCTGTCCGCCGGCTGCGGAGGCTCCCGAGCTGTCCGCCGGCTGCGGAGGCTCCCGAGCTGGAGGCTCCCGAGCTGTCCGCCGGCTGCGGAGGCTCCCGAGCTGTCCGCCGGCTGCGGAGGCTCCCGAGCTGTCCGCCGGCTGCGGAGGCTCCCGAGCTGTCCGCCGGCTGCGGAGGCTCCCGAGCTGTCGCCGGCTGCGGAGGCTCCCGAGCTGTCGCCGGCTGCTGCTCACTACAAGATCTCCTAAATGGTGCACATTTAGGAGGTGTTCATTTTACCTGTTGGCAGGGCTTTTTTTTCAGTGGGAACGCGGGGGAACGCGCCTCCAGCACTGAATATATGTAATGGTAAGGGGTTAGGGGTGTGCTGGAAGGTCTATTGCTGGCTGCTGGGGTATCTTTTTTGTTGATGGAGATCTATTTTTGCTGGAGGTGGGTCCTTTGTTGCTGGGGGTCAATTGTTACTGGGAGAGATCTACTGTTGGTTGGGGGGTCTGTTGTTCCTGGCTGCTGGAGAGTCTATCAATGCTGGTTGCAGGGTGATCTGTTGTTGCTGCTAGGACTCTATTGCTGCTGGGTGGGGGGGGGGGGGGTATTTTATTGCAGGTGATCCATCGTGGTTGGGGGATCTATTGTCACATGGAGGGGGCTGTTATTGCAGCCGGCTGCAGGAAATCTATTTCTGCTTTTCTTGTTATCAACAAATTCCATTCAAATTACTTGGCACCAAAAAATTATACTTGGTTCTGTATTCTCTAAAAGGAATGGTACTGGGGGGTGGGTAGAGGGTGGAACCAAAAAATGGTGCCTGCAGGTGGGTACAAGGCAGAGATCAGTGGTGACTCTGAAAGGGTGGGTTCCAGCGCCTGTTCTCTGAGGGCGAAAAAGCCCTTCCTACAGGTAAGAGTATAATAAAGCTTACCTATAGGTAAAAGTCATTGCGCCTTTACGCTTTGCGTGCCGATGCATCTAGATTTGGATTGAACAGCAGAGGCATAGGCATGAATAAAAAATCACACTTTAAAACAATTTAAAGTGCAGAATCCTAGAAGGCTGTACATGTAGACTACTACATTCTCCCAGCAGAAGTCTTTACTTCCAAAAGCCCAGGGCTGCTTCAGTAGTTAAAGTGTTACTCAACCCCGGACCCTGCATTCACTATATCTGGTCTCCCCGGACCCTGCATTCACTATATCCGGTCTCCCCGGACCCTGCATTCACTATATCCGGTCTCCCCGGACCCTGCATTCACTATATCCGGTCTCCCCGGACCCTGCATTCACTATATCCGGTCTCCCCGGACCCTGCATTCACTATATCCGGTCTCCCCGGACCCTGCATTCACTATATCCGGTCTCCCCGGACCCTGCATTCACTATATCCGGTCTCCCCGGACCCTGCATTCACTATATCTGGTCTCCCCGGACCCCGCATTCACTATATCTGGTCTCCCCGGACCCCGCATTCACTATATCTGGTCTCCCCGACCCCGCATTCACTATATCTGGTCTCCCCGGACCCCGCATTCACTATATCTGGTCTCCCCGGACCCCGCATTCACTATATCTGGTCTCCCCGGACCCCGCATTCACTATATCTGGTCTCCCCGGACCCCGCATTCACTATATCTGGTCTCCCCGGACCCCGCATTCACTATATCCGGTCTCCCCGGACCCTGTATTCACTATATCCGGTCTCCCCGGACCCTGCATTCACTATATCCGGTCTCCCCGGACCCTGCATTCACTATATCCGGTCTCCCCGGACCCTGCATTCACTATATCCGGTCTCCCCGGACCCTGCATTCACTATATCTGGTCTCCCACAGTACACACAACATGGAAATGCAATTATTTTAGTAAATATAAATGCTAAATACCTTTTCTCATCAGCAGTTATAGCAGTCTTGTGACTTCTATTAGTGTTAAGCAGAGCACTGGTTAAAGCTTGTAGGAGGAGTTTTTTCTCTGCTCTAGGAGGATGCAGAACCCCTGACCTCCATCTGGACAGTGCTGATTGGCCCTGTGCTGATCACATGCACTCAAGAAAAAAAAAAACCCTCTCTAGCAATACACACTAAACTGAGCATGTGCAGAAGGGTTAGTGGTTCAGTCTGTTGGTCTTATCAGGAGATGTGGACATTTGAACAAGAGGAAGAGCAGAGAAGACAGGATCAAATGGCCTTTTTACACAATGACACAATATTAACCCCTTAGGTTCCACAGTGAGTATAACCAGCATGCTTTACTGCATCTACAGACTGATTGTACTGTTGTGGGTTTAGTAACACTTTATATCCGTATTGAAGCCACGATACAAGCATAGCAGGAGTAGTCGAGAGTGGGCAGCGCTGGGATTTCTCTAAGCACAGGTTTCCATTAATGACAATAGTGGCCTGACAAACAGTGCATTAAGTATTCAGACCCTTTTCACTTTGTTTTTAATTTTATGTTGTAGCTGGATACTATAGTTTTAAATTCATTTTTCTTTCTCATTAATCTACACCTGGTACCCCATAATGACAAAGTGAAGAATTGGAGAAATGCCTGTGAAATTATCAAAAAGAAAACGGTGAAATATTTTGGGTTTTTTTTAAGGTGTTTTTTTTTTTCCAACTAGTTTGATCTTGGGTATAGGGGTCATTTAGTGACAAATAATGAAGATTGATCGTCATTCAAAGCCCAACTTGAGGCGAAGTATTTCATTTTTTCTTTTTTGGATAGAGCAGAGAAGAGTTGGATTCTCTTCAGATTTTTTATTGCCATCTGTGTCTTTATTAGGGAGATTTCAGGGCAGGGAAATCTGACATTTCTCCATTGGGGGCACAGACAAGAAAAAAAAAAAAATCACGTCTAGTAGAGTGAGAAAGTGCTGGACTTAGTATGTTTTTATTTCTATTTGTGCCTTCCTGTCCCAGTGACAACTACTTGCCAAATTCGTATATAGGTGTCACTGCAGCAGGAAATAAGGGAAAATCTCTTCGGTGAGGTCAGACAAAAATAAAAAAAATTCTCTCACTCTATCCAAAACTAAAGAAAAAAAAAAGCATAGTTTGTTAGGCTTCACAATGGTTTTTCTTTTGATACCTGCTTTGTACAGATTTCACTGATTCAGACTCTGAACTTATTCCTGCCTTACAGATTCCAAGTCGGGTGGCTTCCAGCGGTTTCCCTTCCACCGTGCACCGATGATCACATTCCCCCACGGAGGGCGGTTTAATGCATGGCTAACCTTTCAGTGGTTTCACTAGCAAAAAAAAAAAAAAAAAAAAAAAAGAATAAAAATTTAAAAAAAAATCACAACCACAACAACAGAACCCTGAATTAAAAACTAACCAAATGGAAAATGGAGCTTTACATGCTTTTTACCAAGATAATAATCCGAGCAATTACCAGCTGGCGGGATGGAGTTTGTGGAGTGGCGTAATAGCCATGCAAGAACTTTGAGCACCCGTGTGCAAGCGTAGACTCTTGACGCCAAATACAGAATTGCCATCTTTTACTTTTTTCAGGGGCCCTTTTTATTCTGTACGTTAAATGGATTTTTTTCGTGTGTGTGTGTGTTAGGGAAAAAAAATTACTTCTGTCGGTGTGCCAGACTTGCCTGCTTCCATAGTGACAGCAGTTTTGTAGCATGTAAGGTGAGCAGTTGGTAATTTTACTGGAAAATTTTTTCTCCCTTTAATGGATATTTAATTTTTTTTTTCCTTTAATTTGTGTGCATTTTCCCCTTTTTAATTTTTTTAGTTTTCCCAAGTAAAGTACATATATTTTGTTCATATTTTTTAATTCAACTTTTTTTTTTTTTTTTTTTTTATTGGGGTTGATAAAAGCATTCCTATGCATAGCTGTTATAGGTTTAACGCAGCAAAAAAAAAAAAAATCTCAGCATTTGGGTTCATAGTGTCAAAAATTTGTTACCTCTATTTTCTACAGGAAGAAAAAAAAAAAAAACACTTGCAAATTTTTTTTTCTTGGTCATTGTTCTAAAACATATCACTCTTGTTGTATAGACACCATTCGTTCCATATCGAAAGTCACGATCTTGTCCATTTTGTAGATTTTTGAAGCCTTGGATAGTATCGAAGCATTGCATCGCCGCTGTTCTCGAAGCCTCAAGGTATCACTGTAGCAAATACATTTTGAAGGCCACTTCAGTGTTCGTAGAGTTGACATCAACTTGTCCCAACGTGCATCCCTCACGTACAATGAGCAGAAGCGTGTACCCTCGGAGGTGCTGGCTCATAGGATGGGTTGCCCACAGGAAGGACGTTTGCAATATTGACAAATGTCTGAATTTTGTGATGGGTGGGTGGGGCTAGCGGGAGGTGGGAGGGGAAGGGGTGGGTTTCAAATGTTCGATGTGGTCTATTGGTTGTGTTTTTAAAAGGTTTGAATATCTTCTTCCTTCTGTAGCCTTCACAGCAATCCTTTTTATGGTACAGGAGTGTGTTAGGTGGGTATTTACAGTACTAGGTAGGGCTTTGTGTTCTTGTTGTAAGGGAGTTTTACTGATTATTTCTTAAAATAATGTGAGGCTTGTCCCGGAAGGAGTTGTCCTTGTATGCTAGTATAACCCGTAAGACTTTTTTGCGCATGTCCCATGTTCTCCGTACGATTCTTCACAGCGTGCTTTTTTTTTTTTTTTTTTCTTTGTAAATATCTGTGAATGTCCTGTTAACTGACCGACTTTTCTAACCACTGTACACAAGATCTTTGCGTTGTCTATTCCAGCCGAGGGGAGCGCTCATTCCCTCGTTCTTTTTTTGCCATAAAACGACCGAATGTTTTTGGGATCGGGAGAAAATCCTGTACATTGATACTTATTGCTCAAAAAACAATTTGTATCACTACTGTATTTGTGTACTTTACAAATTGTGTAAATAATAAATTCGTAACTTCTATGTTGTTCGTGTAAAATGTTTTTTTGCACTTCTGATGGATTGGCACTAATAGGTTTTTGTGGGGGGAGGGGGGTTTATATACACTGATTAAAAAAAAAATTAAAGGAACACTTTTCAATCAGAGTATAGCATCAAGTCAGTCCTGGGATATTGATCTGGTCAGGTAAGTAGCAGAGGGGGTTGTTAAACAGTTTCAGCCGCTTTAGTGTTAATGAAATTAACAACAGGTACACTAGAAGGGCAACAATGAGACGACCCCCAAAACAGGAATGGTTTTACAGGTGGAGGCTAGTGTCATTTTTTTTTCCCCTGCTCATCTTTTCTGATTGTTTTTCACTAGTTTTGCATTTGGCCAGGGTCGGTGTCACTACTGGTAGCATGAGGCGATACCTGGACCCTACAGAGGTTGCACAGGCAGTCCAGCTCCTCCAGGATGGCATATCAATACATGCCATTGCCAGGTTTGCTGTGTCTCCCAGCACAGTCTCAAGAGCATGGAGGAGATTCCAGGAGACAGGCAGTTTCTTTAGGAGAGCTGGACAGGGCCATAGAAGGTCCTTAACCCATCAGCAGGACCGGTATCTGCTCCTTTGTGCAAGGAGGAACAGGATGAGCACTGCCAGAGCCCTACAAAATGACCTCCAGCAGGCCACTTGTGTGAATGTCTGACTAAACAATAAGAAACAGACTTCATGAGGGCGACCTGAGGGCCTGACGTCCTCTAGTGGGCCCTGTGCTCATTGCCCCAAAACACATCATCATAGCAACCACGCCACTGACATTCTCCTTCCCCTCTCCTCAGCATCAGAAGCAGCAGATGGAGTGTGCGCATGCACTGGCTGGTCCAGGAACATGCGCAGTAGCGGCTGCAAGCTGCGAACTGTCTTCATTGAGAGATCTGTTATCGCCCTGGTGCAGGCACATGCGCAGTAGCGGCTGCACACCGTGAGCTGTGAACGGTCTTGAGAGATCTGTTATCGCCCTGGTCCAGGCTAGGGGCGGACTGACAACTCATGGGGCCCCCCGGGTAATAGGGGATCATGGGGCTCCTGTGTCCTTGCCCAAACTCAAAAAAAGCCTATGAAAAAGGTACCAGGGGCATCTCATGGGGCCCCCTACTGACCCCGGGCCCTCGGGCAGTGCCCAAGTTTCCAAATGGTCAGTCCGCCCCTGGTCCAGGCACAACCGCGAGCTGTGAACGGTCTTCCTTGAGAGATCTGTTTATCGCCCTGTCTCACCCTCTGCCCTATTGCTGCACCCCAGAGAAGAGCCAAGGTGAACTCACCACAGATTGATATGCCTAGGAATCATTGTATCATGTGAATGCAATCGTTTTAAGTTTCTATATCATAATAAAACAGAGTTACACTAGGGCGGCTGTGCGCTCTCTGCTGGTTTCTTGTCTTTACCCCCATTATAGAGTATGTCTGGACTATAGACCTCTTTGCAATACATGCACATTTTCATGTTTTATCCCTAAAAACTGCAGTGCAGAAAAATGCCTGTTGATCAGCCAATAATCCACTGAGCTGCTTGGGTTGACAACAGAGTACCTTGGATGGACTGACATCCAGACAGTTGTCAGCCTTGCCTGCTATGCTGTACTTCAGAGTTTGAGCTGTTATACCTGCGTCTGCCCAATTGACCAGCTGATGCTTCATCTGCCGCTTGATCATAGAGCCCAACAAAGACCGGATCGGTTTTGATATAGTAACCCAGAAGTGATAACCTTGCATCACATCTGGTTTACTTGGAAATACACAGCACCATTTTTAACCTCTTGCCGTCCGCCTGCTGTTTATAAATGGCAGGGCGGTGGCACTTCAGGGGCGGGTTGCCATTCATAAACGGCACCCGCCTTTTCTAGCTGTGCGTGCTCCCTGGGAGCGCACTGCACCGCGATCCGGAGCCCGCTGTGTCCTCCGGACACAGTGAAACACCGATCGTCGGACAGGACCTCTGTACGAGATCCCGATCATGTGATCACTGATTGGCCAATCAGTGATCACATGCAAAGTAGTAAGCAAGATGTCACTTGTGACATCATTGCTTACTACGTGTGAAATCTGAATGATCACAGAGGTCACATGGTACAAGGCTATTCACAACAGCCTTGTACCATGTGACAATGTGTGACCAATCACAGCTCACTCAGTATTTCTCAATGGCTGCAAGAATGCAGACAGAGAGAAAGAGAAATGATTGCTTTTACATTCTATATGGGTGTAAAAGCAATCACTGTGTCACCCCCCACAAGTAGTACAGTGTCACCATGGTGACACTGTACTGCTAGGGTGACAGTATGTAAAAAAAAAAACCCATAAATAATAATATAAAAAAATAAAATAAAAATTTAAAAAATGATAATTTGTGGTCATTAATTTGGCTTATATTTTTTTTTTTTTTTTTACTAAAAAGATAACGGAATACATTTTGGCCAAGATTTATGATGATAGATTATTTATTTGCAAAATTTTATAAGAAAAACACTTTTTTTCTAAATTTTTGGACTTTTTTTCATTTACATAGCAAAAATAATAAAAATCCCAGCGGTGAATAAATACCACCAAAATAAAGCTTTATCTGTCTCAAAAAAATGGTAAAAAATCATATGGGTACAGTATTGCATGACCGCGCAATTGTCATTCAAAGTGTGATAGCGCTGAAAGCTGAAAATTGCCCTGGTCAGGAAGGGGGTAAAGAAGAAAAGCATATAATTGCACCGATCTGGGTGTAATTAAATGCTTTTAAGGGCAGAGGAGGGATGGTGGGTTTTGATTTGCTGCAGCTTCTTATGTACACTTCTATATGAACCAAGTAAGATGGCTTCACACAATTAAAGTGGAAACCAGGTAAGCAGCAGCAAGGTAAGCTGGCCATACAGAGTATGAAGTCATTAACAAATTCATCCCTCTATGGCACAGGTGTCAAACTGGCGGCCCTACAGCTGTTGCCAAACTACAAGTCCCATGAGGCATTGCAAGATTGACAGCTACAAGCATGACTTCCAAAGGCAGAGGCATGATGGGACTTGTAGTTTCGTAACAGCTGGGGGGCTGCCAGTTTCGCACCCGTGCTCTCTGGTATACCGTGCGGATGGACAAATCTAATGTGTCTATTGTAATCAGGCAGCTACTGCATCCGAATGGATACAGCTGCTTTTCAGCTGAACATTTTTCATCTGGCTTCTTCATTTTTTTTATTTCAACTGATGTCAGGTAGGAGGAGGCCAACAGGTCCATCATGTAGAAAATGTAGCAGGAACCATGTCAAAATTCAAAGCACAAA